ACACACACACACACACACACATGGACGAACAGACAAGACACACACATATGGACTAACAGACACACAAACATAGACTAACAAACACACACACATAGACTAACAAACACACACACATAGACTAACAGAAACACAGAGAGACAACACCCACACCACAGCTCCATCCTCTATGAAACACATTGAGTGGGTGTATGTGTGTGTCTGTGAGTGTGAGAGAGATGAATGAGCTGCACTGATAACACAACACAACACTACAGCAGTGTCCACTAAGGAGGAAGGGTGGTAACAATCACTGCAGGGTCATGTTCATCACCTGACTCACAGTGATGCATATCCATGTTTATGATCCACATTCAGTGGTGAAGTGACTAAGAACATTTACTCAGACACTGATTGTATCTTATCCATTTTTTTACTTAACAACATTTATTTTTACATTTACTTCATTTATCTGAATAAGAAACAAAAAAAAAGATGAAAACCTCCTTTGCAATAATGAACTGTGTTTATGCAGCTTATTTCAAAACACAGTTACAACTTTCTTTACATGTTGACAGGATAATAACATTTCAGGGCCAAGGGAATTTAGATGAGGGAAGTGGTCGGGAGTTGAGCCGGGGAAATAAAAACCCATGCAAACAAATAGAGCTGATGATTACTTTGAAAAATGCCTGGTGTAATTTCCCACAGACCAAGGTGACGTCTTCAGACATCATGTTTTGTCCAACTAATAGTCCAAAACGTGAAGCTATTCAGTTAACTTTCATAGTTGATTCCTTAAATCCTCATAAATTATAAAGCTAGAAACACCATGTTTCTATAAAAAACAATTAGTTCAATTAATCAACTCAGCATTGCAGCTCTACAACAGACACTGCAAAATTAGCATTTCTACAAATGTTGATGCACTGCCAATCTAACCGTAACTGTCCCCTACTTGATGTGATGTGCATTCAAATGTCACCGCTCACAGTATGATATAGTTATCATCAGTACATCAGTTTTAATAAGTATAAATAAAAGTATAAATGTCTTTCTGCAACAGATAAAGCCACCCATCCATCAAACAGACAGGAGGACTGGGAGTATATCATTGGCTTCTGTGACCAGATCAATAAGGAATTGGAGGGGTATGTCTGTGAAATACACTTTTTTTTAAAAACTTCATTCAGCCCAGGAAAAGTGTTTCACCTGGAGTCTCTTCTTGCAGTCCACAGATAGCTGTAACTCTGCTCGTCCACAAAATTCACTCACCGCAAGAATGGGAAGCACTTCAGGCTCTGACAGTAAGCTGAAACTCTGCCCGCACTGTAAATGTCAACAAGCAGTTTTTCTTTTTCCCCACCACTCAATCATTCACGTTAAATGTTTTGCGTGCAGGTGTTGGAGGCGTGTATGAAGAACTGCGGGAGGAGGTTTCATAACGAAGTTGGAAAGTACAGATTTTTGAATGAGCTGATTAAAGTTGTGTCTCCGAAGGTGAGTCATCTCATGGGTTCGGACTCTATGACAGCAGGCTGATTGTACATCCTTACATCCAGCCTCTTTTTCCTAACCCCTTGTTTCCAGTACATGGGTGACAGTGCACCTGAGAAGGTGAAGCTGAAGATTGTAGAGATGCTGTACAGCTGGACTATCGCTTTTCCCAATGAGGCCAAGATCGGTGAAGCCTACCAGACGCTGAGAAGACAGGGTGTGTTGAGATGTGGATGAAACACAGCAATTTCTCTTTCCTCTCAGTTCATCAGTCAAAACAGCTGCCATAAGGAATCGTATTAATCCGGTCCGCACTCTTCCTCCACAGGCCTCGTGACACGTGATCCAGAGTTACCGCTGGACAGGACTCTGATTCCCTCTCCTCCGACACGACCCAAACACCCGGTGTTTGACAATGAGGACATGGGAAAAGTGAGGGAATACAGGAAAACAAGACCTGCTCTGTAATGGGAGCAGGTTTTGGGAAACTCCTTTCTAGATCCATGCTTTTTCTCATGTCTTAATAAAGTTAATTGCTGGAAATTAAGGCCAACATCATCATCATCGAACACACGAGAAGAAAGTGTGATCGAAAAAGTTCTTTGTCTTTCTCTCATACTTTGTTCCAGAGGACACAGTAACTGTCAATTTATAGGTGAAGGATGGATACTGCAAAACCAAACTGATCTGTGTGTGTGTTGTGTGTATGTTTGTTGTGTGTTGTGTGTATGTGTGCGTGTGTGTGCGCATGTGTGTGTAGCTGCTTGCTGAGCTTCTCCGCAGTAAAAATCCAGAAGATCTACAAGAAGCCAACAGATTAATCAAAAACATGGTGAAAGAGGTGAGACGTTTGAATATTTATCATTAATGACTCATGATTTTACAGTTTTTTTTAACCTGCTCGTTACTATAAGGACACGTTAAAGAACTTAGACATTGGCTGAGAGATATATATTTTTTCAACAACAGTCTTACATTGTGTCTCGTCGTCTTTGTCAGGACGAGGCCCGAGTGCAGAAGCTCTCAAAGCGACTGCACATGCTGGACGAAGTGAACATCAACGTCAAGCTGCTGACTGAGATGCTGTCCCACTACAATAAAGACAGTTCCACTGACTCTGACAAGGAGATCATTAAGGTGTGTGTCTGCACACACACACACATGAGATAGTAAACTGACATCAGCTCTTCGATACCTCTTTTACACCATTCCCATCGCACATTATAGCCAGATGTGAGACAGTTTTTCGACCAGTGGAAAAGGGGCTTAAGTTAGAAGGATGAAACCGGAATAGTTCCTCACAGAGGCAAAAAAGAGGAACATTTGGTTTTAAGCTGCTTTGCACAGCTGTATTTTGCCTGTTCAGCACCTTCTATGCTTTTCTCCTCAGGAACTCTACGAACGATGTGACAAGCTGAGGCGCGCTGCTTTCAAGATGGCCACTGAGACGGAGGACAATGACACCAATTTAGGTTGGACAGTTTGGGTATTTTCGTTTATCTGAAGAAGTCCTGTCTTTACATTTTAGTCACGTCACTGTGTGTTCTGTAACCCCTGCCTTTGACTGCTCAGGTGACATCCTGCAGGCCAGCGATGATCTCTCCAGAGTCATAAACTCCTACAAGAAGATAGTCGAGGGGCAGCCAATCAACGGAGACAGTGAGGAGCCTCGATCCACAGCTGGTCACAGTGAGGGCGGTGAGAGATAGATTATAATCGTGCACATGTTTATGCACCAGACATCCTTGCCTCTCTGTGATTCATTCAGCTAGCAGACTCAATCCTCCTTCCTCTCTCTGTCGCTTCACAGAGACCACAGATACGTTGATCGACCTTGCCGGCCTTGACACTCCGAGCCCTCCTCAACCCGCCCTCCCTCCCTCTCAGTCCTCACAACCTTTCTTCGGCAATCCCACGGCTAACCCCATACCCTTCCTCCCTCCTCCTCCCAAACGCCTTGCCGGATCCCATGGCAGTCAGAGCAGCAGCCCGAGCCACCCTCCCCTCGACATGGCCTCCACCGCTCTCTCGCTCCTCGATGATGAGCTGCTGTCCCTAGGTACTACATCGTCATTGTGACTTGAGTCTAAGGGACTGATTTTTAGGAATTACATGAAAGTTGTGTCGTCTGAAACATCTGAATTCTCCTTGTCCAAGACATTATAAGAAAAAAAGTAATTCTCTTGTGATGATATGAAAACGCTTCTTTCAGGACTAAATGACCCCCCTACCCCTCTGAGCAGCCAATCAAAACCCAAGTTGAACGAAGTGTCCAATCAGTGGACGTCCTTGCAGGTAAATCTAAAAAGAGTTTGTGACCCACTTTCACCAGACGACCTACAGCTAGTCATTGTGTAATTACAGAGATTCAGTCTGTTATCTCCTCGTCTCCTCTGCAGGCCCCGGCATCCAGCGTGGATTTGTTTGGCAGTGTAGCTTGTTCAGGTCCAGTGGTGCCCCCTGCTGAGCCGGCTGCCAGCGTTAACAGTCTCCAGAACCTGCAGGACCTGGCCATGATGGGCTTTTCAGATCAAAAGAGGTGCAGATCTTTGTTCTTGTTCTCTTTGTTGTTCAACTGAAATCAGCTTTTTCCAATGTAACAAGAGCAAAATGTGATTTTCAGTGTCAGTGGCCAGATGACGGCCAGAGGAAGCAGCTTTGGGGTAACGCCTGCTGCAGCACTTCCTCTTGTTGCTGGACATGGCTCTCCCTCCTCAGCCTCTCTTCTCCAGGGGACCATGCCCGGCTCTCCTGCCCTGTCCCATGCTAAGGTCCAGAGTCTGGGCTCGGCCCCGGGGAGCCCACTGTTCCGCTCTCTGTCTCCCTGCCCCCCTCCCCTCCAGGGCAGCCCGGCCAGAGCCACAGACATCTCCCTGAGCAACGTGCACATTCCTCTGGAGGCCATCAGACCAAGTAAGGACCGAGGAGGAGAGAGGGAGCGTTGAATGTTATATAGCTTGTGTGTGCCTGTTCTTGATTGGCTATCTGTCCTCAGGTAAGGTGCTCCCTGTGACGGCCTACGATAAGGATGGCGTTCGTGTGCTGATCAACTTTGCGTCCGACTGTCCCCCCGGCCGGCCTGATGTGCTTGTAATGGTGGTGTCCATGCTGAACACAGCGCCCCTGCCAGTTTACAATGTGGTACTGCAAGCTGCTGTACCCAAGGTTGAGACATTCATTCCTCTGTTCATATGTTCCTTTGTCTGCTGTGTTGTCATATTAAAGTTTAGATAAATTTTTCCAGATCTGTCTTGAAACAATATTCACAGGCTGGTACGTTCACTGTGCAGAGATCTTTAATGTAGGTGGTGGAGAAAATCCACAGTCCTCTCTGTGTTAATTATTAACATGAGCCAAAATGAATTAAACTCAGGCCCAGCTGGTGTGAGCCTTCAGCTTCTGAATGAATCCAATCAAGGACGTTTCACTCTGTTTTAATAGAATCAAATAACTTATCACAACCACACTTTCCAGCAGAATGAGCAACTCGACAGACATCAGATTATTTTAAAAGGGCTTTGGATTTTTAGTTTGGTCCATGTTAATGACCTATACCAAAGCCAACCACCATGTGGCGATCAAGATGCTTTTGCTTCCATTTTGGGGCATTGTCATGTCGTCTGTGTTTATGAACAGTTTATGATGGAAACATGAAAATAACGGATTCTTTCTTTCATCCTCCACCAGTCGATGAAGGTGAAGCTGCAGCCTCCATCAGGAACAGAACTGGCACCATTCAACCCCATCCTCCCTCCAGCCTCCATTACCCAGATCATGCTGCTGGCTAATCCAGCAAAGGTAGGTGACATTAAAACACTTCAAGCTATACACAAACCACAGAGTTTCTGAGACACAGAGCGGTCGGGCGTGGTGGCAGTCAGGCCCTGAAAGGTTGTGTCTTCACAGGAGAAAGTGCGTCTGCGCTACAAGCTGGCTTTTACACTGGGGGATCATCCGTGCAATGAGGTTGGAGAGGTGGACCAGTTCCCCACACCAGAGGCATGGGGTCATCTATAGCAGCGTGCAGGCTTGCTAATGCTCAGCAGGGACAGACTGGTTCATACTCCATGAAGGGGTGTGTGTGTATTCACAGGCATCCTAGAGAGAGAAAAAGGAGAGGAGGCTGGGGAAATTCTGCAGCGTTGTTACAGCAACAATAACTTTCAGCTTCACATTCCTCTTAGTGGTTCTTCATTTTCTGGTCGTTGTTGTTCCTGGCAGTGAGATATTAACAACAGACGCTAAACGTTTTATTCATGCAGAGCTTATGCTTTTCTGCAGATAGCTGAGAAAGTAAAGATATACGCTGGTGAGTGAGTTAGTCGTGGTGTTTAAAGGCCGATGGAACTTTTATGGATTTTACTGAATGTACTTTAAATAATTTAAGCATTAGAATTCTGCCTCAGACTGAAATGTTGCACTGCAGCGTCACAAGTGTTTTTAAAAGAAGTGAGCCTCTGCATTAACAGAGCCTAAGAGACAATGGTTGTGCTTTTATTTATTCCTCTGAACACTTAACCAGCCTTCAAATAAAAAATACTTGAATATTTCCAGAAATTTGGAGACTAGGATCTAGATTTCTGAGGATGGAGTTGCACTGGAAAATAAATGGTTTGATTGAAAAGTACTGTCACATATTCATTTCTGCAGGAAGATAGTGGAATGATATGTACTACATTATTATCTTAGCATCAGGATTTTTGACACAGGTAAATAAACTGTTGAAAAATTGTACAGGCTAATGTAGCCTTGTTCTCGATTGATGGACAAACAATGTTAAATACTGACGAGTAAATGGAAAAGTGAGGCTATATACACAGAATTTAATTCAAAAAGCCCTCAGTAGAGAGCATTCAATTCATCCAGGCTTCACCAAATTATTACATTCATAGATATCAGTTCCCTAAATATGCCTGATTTTTTTTCAACAATGTCCATAAATTATTTTCTGAGAAATCAAGGAAAATGTCAAAAAATGTTGCAAACTTAAAGAAAGTGACTCCAACTTTCATGGTTATCGGTTAATTAGTTTTTGTGCAATCCTGCAAATAAACAAACCAACAACCGGACAGGGGTGAAAACATCACACCCCCCATAGGTAATAATAGACATTCCAGGAGTTAAGTCGACTGAAATCAACACTGGTTTGATTTAATGTGATCAGTTTTTCCTTTTGAAAATAAATTAAAAGGTGATTTACTCAGTGTGTCAGCACTTCAGCCATGATTGTGTATTTAAATATGTTTACCAGTCTCAGTATTGGGAGTATTTTATTATCATATTTATTATTTTCTGTTTTAGCGTTTCAGTGCATCACTGAATCTAGAAAATGTGAAGTGGAAAACTGAGTTTGGGAGATCTGTCACCAGGCAGATCATTTAGCAGTGTGTAACAGTGGGACAGTCCTCAGCTTATCGTATGGGATGTACATTAGTATGTGTTTAATGTACATAGTATGTAATGTATGTGAAGTTAATGTATGTAAGTTATGTGAACATGTGACATGTAGTTTTTGGGAGAGTGTTTGGTCTGTACATACTGTATGATGTGCCATTTGTTCGGTGCATGAAATAAAATAAATATTTCTTTCCATGGATTTCTGATTCACAGAGGTTATTATTCATTGTGTCGTATAAATGATCACAAAATAATGAATGTAAATCGTTTAAAGTTTTATTATCAAAGAGTACAGTTGGATTACTTGAATTTTATGTACAGTACAAAAAAAATGCAGGTGAAGAGCTTTCGTCTTTAATGGCACCGCTCATGTCTCCACTGTTCCCTCTTTGACTATAGCCATAGCCAGATTCCTGGCCAGAGCGAGTCTCAGGAGCTCCACCTTGGTCAGCTCAATGTCTTCCTCCTGAAAACACAAACACTCCGATCAGTGGGGGAGTAGATGGTACGTCTTTTATTCTGCAGCAAATCCTTGTATATTTGATGGAGAGCAGGAGGTACACTTCACAGGACATCGTTTGAAACTGACAAATCTCTTTTTGTACATGAATGCAGAATAAATGAGCCTTTAGTCTAATGCTGTTCACTATAACTGGAACAGTCTTTGTGAGGAGATACATACCTGCATGGGTCTGTCTGTGCCGGGAGGGGTGCTGTTCAGTGAGGAGGTCAGCTCCTCTAAACAGAACATCAGCTCGTAGGTTTGGTCGGCGGAGAAGATCACCTAAAATAAACACCAACAGAGCCGTCTTTTATTCCAGACCACAGAACAAGCTTTTTTCTGAGCACTGGTTCCTCTTGTTTCCTGTGTCTCCACATCTAACAGAAAACTGAGTTTGTTGTTTGTCTGCACCGTGACAATAGTCGACTGTTTGGAACAAAATTAAATTAATTATGCTGATGACAATTCGATTATAGTTTGACAGCAACTATGTTTGATTAATTCAATTCATCCTTTTAAGTTGATTTTCAATTAATCAAACATAATCAAATCATTTCTATTTCCAGCTTCTGAAATATGGATACTTGCTGCTTTTCTTAGTCCTTTAAGACAGTAAACAGTTTTATGAACCAAACACTTGACTAATACTGACATGTATCATCAGTTACAGCCTTTATTTAGTATTTGTTGACTCTTATGTGATAAAACAGCATATTTCAAAATACTGTATCTCCAGCAAACCATTAATATCATTCTTCCACATCATCATTAGAAACCAAATCCACGGTATACTTAGCACTTTGTGGCGACTGACCTCTTTCTGCTCGAGCAGCGGCAGGGCGTCAGTCAGCAGAGTCATCCAGAAGCTGCGGGGGGCGATCTTTGCCGTCATGAGGGAGAGGAGCAGCTTGGCCGCCTCCCTGAAGCGCTTCTCTCCGTACAACTTGTGGAACTCACGGTACTTTCCTGAGAATAGAAAGAGAGCAATGTTTTCAGACAGTGTTACAAATTGTTCCCTCTTGTTTACAGCTAATCTACTTTTACTAAAATGTTTTTTGCTCTTCCCAACGTGCTTCAGACATCACTGATTCTCTACAAAGACAGACTTTAAGTTCTTAATAAATATGGAAATCTTTTAACAAGCTCTTCAAAGTTCTTAAATGTGCTGATCTTGAATCTTGATTTTTAGAAGTTTCTTATGGTTCGGCTCTTTTCACTTGTGTTTCCTCCAGTAAAACAGTCACATGCTGTTGCTTTAAGCTTTATTTATATCTCTGTGTGGGGACACATGTTTGTGAGTCTGATTCTCATGTGACAGCCTGAGATAGATGATAAGAGTAGCTGTGCAAGTCACAATCTGCCCTCTATGAACATCTATATATATTTATGTGTGTGTGTGAATATTGATATATGAATTCAAGTTGTGAGAGCTGCAGTGTATTTGGCGGGTGCTCCTAGTCCATACCAAGGAAAGTGAGCCTGTCGCTGAGCAGCATTGCCGGGCCCAGGTTGTCTATTAGGTCAAGATCGGAGAACGTTCCTTTGGCGCAGTAATCCTGTAAGAACCTGACAGACACACATATAAACCACTTGAGATGATGCTCTGACCACTTCAGATTGGATTTATGAACATGATGCTTACTTTTAATCATCAACCCATATTAGATAAAGCTGGAAATGATTGATACTATAGTCTTCTAATAATTTAGCACAGACACCAGTTTGATACCATGTTTCGGTAAAACACAAAAACTAATCAATATTTCATTATCTTGTTCTTGAGAGTTATCTGATTAAATTTGAGCAATAACCTATGTGTAAAAGTATACAGCCAATAACTTCCTGTTGCCAGTGGGAGGTGCTATGACAGTGATTCAAAATTGGCCTGTATATGACTTTAGGGCAGGACTCAATCAAACTTCGACACGCTGCCTTTCCGACGCAACATCAAGGTCTGAAAGCTTTTCTGACCAGATTTGAACTCTTGTTGAAAACAGTGTCACACATTCTTTCAAAGGAAAAAGTGACTTTTCCACTGCTGGTGTTCTTTGACGATTATTCTCCTCAAGGTTCCAGCAGTGTTGAGAAACCACTTGAAGAATAAGTATCGTTAAGGGAACTAACCTCTCTGAAATTAGAGTGGCAAAGGCAGCATCCTTGGCCCTGATGCTCCAGGAGAGAGCAGAGCCCAGTCTGTTGTTCCTCAGAGCTCGCATAGCCATGATCTTACAGATACTCCGCACTGAGTGAAGACAAAACATTGAAGGTTGAAGTCTTTGCTGCAGCGGATAAACAGATGATTTGACCCCTTTATCTGCGTTTGTGTAACACAGGGTAGATACAGAATGAGAGAAAGGCAGAGAAAGAATGTGCTACCTTGCTCTGACATTTGCCTTTGCTCACAGATCCTGAGCACCTTAAGGGCTTTGCGCTCAGTGTCGACAGGAACACGCTCAATCTGCAGCTCCAGGTAGACACGACCAAACTCTGGACAGTGGTCAAAGTAGTCCACAGCCAACTGCCAAAGACTTAACACACACACAGACATGTAGAGTCACTATAATAGCATGAAGTGATCATTTGAGAACATTTCAGGGCAAATGATTATTCAGTGAAATATAACTTGTAAAAACATACCTGTGATGAGTGAAGAGGCCAGACGCATATTCTAACAGGAGAAACTCTCTCAAGTTGGAGCCAAAGCTGAACACACACCAGAAAGATTTAGTTAATGTTCCCGGACTAAAGTGTGTTCAAGTACAAACACGGACAAACAGAGTGCTTACTGTAGATTGTGAGACTGCAGGAGTTTGCAGTGATCCAAGAGATCTGTCAAATGGGCCACAAACCACCAGTTGTTGAGAGCAATGCTGGAAACACATGGAGGAAAAATCAGAGAAACAGGGAAGTGTGATGACAGGTTAACCCCCCAAAGACGGCAAGGATGAACAGCCAACCACACAACAGACAAGTATTTCTTTAAATGTTAACATACAGTTATTTAAGAAACTATAAACTGAAGAAAAGACATTAACTGGTATGTGCAAAACGTTGGACCCCCCTACTAAGTCCTATGTCCTACCTGCAGTCCTTGATGACCTGATGGATGTCAAACTCAAAGGCAGCGAGTAAAATGCTATCCAGGGGCTCTGGGACGCTCCTCGAGTCCAGAAACATGGTCATGCATGACTGCAAAATACACAAACACGATAAATAAAAAGAACGAGGGAGCAGAAACTTTGAATGTTCACTGGTGCTGCAGCAGCTAGCGTTGCATACCTGTGCATAGTAATGTAACTCAGTGGGCTTGACTGTGGGGTGGCAGAACAGCAGCCTCGTAACCAGGAAGTGGTACCAGGTGCTCAGCAATTCCTTGTGTGCAAGCAAAGTGTCTTCATCCCCAACTAGGATCTAAAAAGAGGTGTTGGATTACGCGACACAGGATATTTCAGTATCTCAGAATGGGAGCTCCAGTAGCATGTAGAGATTACTACAGATATACAGAGAGCCCCTAAGGTCACTGACCTTACAGATGATCTCCAGGTGTTGGTTGCTGGCAAAAGAGCTGTCCTGCAGGCAGCGGTCCACCTCCTCATGCCAGTGTCTCCACTTCACATCAAACTCTGTTAACGTCTGGGTGCCACCAGGCTGAGAGAGTTCCGAGGTGAAAGCCACCGTAGTTTGATTAATGAGCTGATATTTTGTTTAAATTTTGCTAAAACATCATAAATATCTGTGCATATAATGAACTCTATTCAGTAGCCCTGCAATCAGTCCTTCTGAGGATATGTTGAAACTGTATCTTACATTGTAGAAGGGCATCTTGCTGAGCAGAGTGTCGATCAGCTTGTACATTTTTCTAGCAGCAGGCTGTAGGGTGGCCTGCTTCACCAGCATATGTCTGGCTTCTTCCAACCTGCCCTGCAGCACATAACTCACCACCTGCACAACACAGACACACGCAAATGTGATAACTGAGATTTCACATGGTGCTCTACGTCAGGAAAGATATTTGTTATTGCTGTTATTGTTATACTGTTTGTATGTGCTGCACCTACCACATCCCAGTAGTCGTGGTGCTCAGCAGGGCTCTCACTCTGCAGCACATCTCTGGCCTTCTCATCCACATCGGCCTTGTGTAACCTCACCCAGTCCAGAAGGTGGAGCAACAGGGAACCCGCTACAGACACACACTTCTTTCAATCATATATTTTCATAATCACAATAACATTTACTACAAAACATACAGAGTGGATATTAACAACAAGCACAGAGTCAAACTCTAACCAGGAGCTGCGTCGATGAAAAGCACTTCACACAGATTCCAGATCAGCTCTATGGCCAAAAGAATGGACACCTGTGACACAACAAAACAGAGGTTAAAGCAGCGTCACCAAAAAAAGAAACAATCACAAAAGACGATTTGAGTCAAACAAAAAACATCCTCTCCAAATGCAGCTCTTCGTTAATCGACCCTTTATTTAACATAGATAATTGGTAACGGTATCTGTTTTCAAAATTATTATTATAATAATTATTTTGCTTCACTCAATTCAGCCACTAAAAGACAAGTATGCATTAGTCTGCTCTTAAAGAGAACTGTAATGTCTTTGCATGTAGCAGCACAGATGTACACACAACAGCAGTACATACCTGGTTTCCATATTGTGTTGCTACTTGGGCATCT